AAATAGAGAAGAACAAAAGTTGTTTTTTTAAAAAATAAGCAAAATCAAAAAACCATTACATAGACTAATTAAGAAAAAAGAGAGAAGGCCCAAATAAATAAAATCAGAGAAAAAAAAGAACACATTAGAATTTATACCACAAAAATATAAAGAATCATTAGAGACTATTATGAACTACATGACAACAAATTAGAAAAACTAGGGAAAAAAAAGATAAATTCCTAAATACATATAACCTACCAGGACTGAACTATGCAGAAATACGAAACCTCTAAGACCAACAGTGAGTAACAAGACTGAACCAGTAATAAATCCTCCCACAAAAAAAAAAAAAAAAAAAAAAAAAAAACCCAGGACCTAACAGATTCACTGTTGAATTCTACCAAACATTTAAAGAAGAGCTAATACCACTTCTATCCAAACTATTCTACAGAATTAAAGAGGAGGGAATACTTCTATTAGGCCAGCATTACCCTGATATCCAAACCAGACAAGGATACAACAAAAAAAGATCTGATAGCTCTGATGAACATAGATGCAAAAAAATCCTCAAGAAAATACAAGCAAACTAAATTCAACACATTAGAAAGATCTCACATGATCAAGTAAGATTCATCCCAGGGATGCAAGGATGGTTAAACATACACAAATCAATAAACACAATACATCACATTAACAGAATCAAGAAAAACCACATAATCATTTCAACAGGTGCTGAATAAAGCATTCACTAAAATTCAACATCCCTTCATAATAAAAACTCTCAAAAAACTAGGTATACAAGGAACATACTTCCAAAACAATAAAGGCCTATATGTTTGCAAAACCCCCGGTCTCTACAAAAAAATACAAAAATTAGGGCGGCTGGCTGGGTGTTGGTGGCTCCACACCTGTAGTTCCGCTACTCGGGAAGGCTGACGGCTGGACACGTTTGTATGTCAAACCCCACAGCTAATCGAAGAGGGAAACTGGAAAAACCTGTGCCTCAAAAGATTCTGGAGAAGAGAAAGATTGCCCACTTTCACCACCTTTTATTCAACACAGTACTGGAAGTCGCTTTAGCCAGAAGCAATTAGGACAAAAAAGATTGTTTGGGATCCAAATTAGCGAAGGAAAGAAGCCAAATATATCCTTTGTTCAGGGCAACCATTTGATCTTGTGTTTTAGAAAAGCTAAAGAATACCAAAAAACTGGTTGGCTTTTGCTGTCGTTGCTTTTGGTGTTTTAGGACATGAAGTCTTCGCCGATGCCTATGTCCTGGAATGGTAACTACCTGGTTTTCCGTCTTAAGGATTTTGTTTGTTTTTATGGGTTATTAGTTAACATTTAAGTCTCTAATCCATCTTGAATTAATTTTCGTATATTAAGGAGAAGGGGGAAAGGATCCAGGTTCAGCTTTCTACCTTATGGGCTAGCCAATTTCCCAAAACCCATTTATTAACTAGGGAATCTTTTCCCCATTTTTCTTGTTTCTCTCAAGGTTTGGTCAAAGATCAGGATGGGCTGGTTAGGATGTGTGGTATTATTTCTGAGGACTCTGGTTCTTGTCTCCATTGGTCTATTATCCTCTGTTTTTTTGGTACCAGTACCATTGCTGTTTTGGTTACTTAGCCTTGGTAGTATAGTTCGAAAGTCAGGTAGCGTGATGCCTCCAGCTTTGTTCTTTTGACTCTGAGAATTGTTCCTTGGGATGCGGGCTCTTTTTGGTTCCATATGACTTTTAAAGGCAGTTTTTTCCAATTCGTGACGAAGTTTCATGGTAGCTTGATGGGGGATGGGCAGTTGATCTATAATTACCTTTGGGCAGTTATGGGGCCTTTTCACAATATTGGATCTTTCCTATCCATGAGCATTGGGGTATGTCTTCCATTTGTTTGGTTCCTCTTTTATTTTCACTTGAGCAGTGGTTGTAGTTCTCCTTGAAGAGGTCGCTTTACATCCCTTTGTAGAGTTGGGATTCCTTAGGTGATTGTATTCTCTTTGGAAGCATTGTGAATGGAGTTTCGATTCATGATTTGGCTCTCTGTTTGTCTGTTATCTCATTTTAAACTAAAGGGGCTTCTGGCACAGCAAAAGAAGACTACCATCCAGACTTGGAACAGGCAACCTTTACCAGGGAATGGGAAGGAAATTTTTCGCAGCTCTACATTCATTGACAAAGGGCTAATATCCAGAACCTTTAAAAGAACTCAAACAAATTTACAAGAAAAAACAACAATCCCCATTGCAAAAAAGTGGGGCAAAGAGGATATGAACAGACATTTCTCAAAGGAAGACATTCATACAGGCCAACAGGCACATGAAAAATGGCTCATCATCACTGGCATCAGAAATGCAGAATTCAAAACCAAATGAGATACCATCTCACCACGCAGTTAGAATGGTGATCATGAAAAAAGTCAGGAAACAACAGGTGCTGGAGGGATGTGGAGGAAATGGGAACCCACTTTTTACGCCACCGTTGGGTTGGGATTGTAAACTAGTTCAAACGATTATGGAAAACAGTATGGCGGATTCCTCAAGGGGATCTTAGAACTAGGATGTACCATATGACCCAGCATCCATTACTGGGGTGATACCAAAGGGATTATAATTTCATTGCTGGCTATAAAGACCACATGCACACGTTTATTTCATTGCGGGCCCCACTTATTCCATAGCAAAAGGACTTGGAATCAACCAAATGTCCATCAGAGTGACAGACCTGGATTAAAGAAAATCTGGGCACCATATCACACTCATGGAATACTACTCAACGCCATAAAAAAAGGGATGAGTTGTGTGTCCTTTGTAGGGACATGGATGGCAGTGGAAACCATCATTTCTTAGACAAACTATTTCAACAGAAGCGAAAACAAGACACCGTATGTTCTCCGGACTTCATAGGTGGAAACTGAACAATGGATAGATCACTTGGAACTCGGGAATGGGAACAACCAAAACCGGGCCTATCATGGGAGGGGACTAGGGATTGCATGGGGAGTTATACCTGATGTTATTCGACAGTGATGGCTGCTGACGAGTTGATGGGTGCAGCACAGCAACATGCGACAAGTATCCTATGTAACAAACCTGCACGTGCTATGCACATGTACCCTAGAACTCAAGTTATAATAATAAAAAAAAAAAGGAAAAAAAAAAAAAGGAAATATTATAAACAAAAAAAAAAAAAAAAGAATACCAAAAACTATTAGAACTGATAAATTCAGTACAGTTACAGGATACAAAATCAACATACAAAAATCAGGAGCATTTCTATACACCAATAGCTAACAATTTGAAAAAGAAATCAAGAAAACAATCCTATTTACAATAGCTATGAAAAATTGAATACCCAGGAATAAATTTAACCAAACTGAAGGATCTCTGTAATGAAAATATAAAACACTGATGAAAGAAATGAAAGAAGACAAAAATAAATGGAAAGATTCCCCATGCTCATGTATTGAAAGAGCTAATACTGTTAAATATCTATGGTACCCAAAGCAATCTATAGATTCAATGCAAGCCCTATTAAAATACCAATAAAATTCTTCACAGAAATAAAAAAAAAACTATTCTAAAATTCATATGTATCACAAAATACTCCTAATAGCCAAAGCAACCCTGAGAAAAAAAAGCTGAAGGAATCACATTACCTGACTTAAAAATATACTTCAGGCTGGACGCGGTGGCTCATGAGGTCAAGAGATTGAGACCATCCTGGCCAACATGGTGAAACCCCGTCTCTACTAAAAATACAAAAATTAGCTGGGTGTGGTGGCAGGCACCTATAGTTCCAGCTATTCAGGAGGCTGAGGCAGGAGAATGGCATGAACCTGGGAGGTGGAGCTTGCAAGATCATGCCACTGCACTCCAGCCTGGGTGACAGAGCAAGACTTCGTGTCAAAAAAATAAATAAATAAATACTACAAAGCCATACAACCAGAACAACACGGTACTGGCATGAAAACAGGCACCTACACAGACCAACAGAACAGAATAGAGAACCCAGAAATAAAATCACACGTTTACAGTCAAGTCATTTTTGACAATGGTGCCAAGAACATACATTGGAGAAAGGACAGCCTCTTCAATAACTGGTGCTGAGAAAACTGGATATCCATATGCAGAAGAATGAAACTAGATTCCATACCTCTCACTATGTATAAAAACCAAATTGAAATGGATGAAATAAATTAAGACCTGAAACTATTATATAAAACTACTAGAAGAAAAACACTGGGGAAGTGCTTCAGGACACCGGTCTGAGCAAAGATCTTTTGGGTAAGACCTCAAAAGCACAGGCAGCAACAGCAAGAATAGATAAATATGATTACATAAAACTAGAAAGCTTCTGCACAGGAGTGGGAACAATCAACAGAGTAAAGACACAACCTACAGAATGGGAGGAGATATTTGCAAACTATCCATCCAATAAAAGGTTAACCAGAATGTATAAAGAACTCAAACAACTCAAGAGTAAAAAAAAAAAAATGTGATTTAGAAATGGGCAAAGGATCTAAATAGACATTTCTCAAAAGAAGACATATAAATAGCCAACAGGTATTTGAAAGAATACTCAATATCACTAACAATGAGGGAAATGAAAATCAAAACCACAGTGAGACACCATCTCATCCTTGTTAAAATAGCTGTTACCTAAAAGACAAAAAATAACAGACACTGGCAGGAATGCAGAGAAAGGGGAATGCTCACACCCTTTGGTGGGAATGTAAATTAGTGCCAGTATAGAAAACACTATGGAGATTCCTCAAAAAACTAAAAATAGATCTACTGTATGATCCAGCAATCCCACTACTGCATATATACCCAAAATTTGAAAGGAAATCAGTATGTCAAAGAGACATCTGCATTACCATGTTTGTTACAGCACTGTTCACAATAACCACGATATAGATTCAACCTGAGTATCCATCAACAGATGAATGGATAAGGAAAATGTGGTCTATAAACATGAGGGAATATTATTCAGTCATGAAAACAGAATGAAATCTTACCATTTGCAGCAACATGGATGCAACTGGAGGTCACGATGTTAACTGAAATAAGCCAGGCACAGAAAGACAAACATTGCATGTTCTCATTCATATGTGGGAGCTAAGAAAGTTGGTAGAGAATAGAATGATAGTTACCAGAGGCTGGGCAAATACTAGGAGGAGAGGGATAAAAAGAGGTTGGTTAATTGGTACAAAAATACAATTAGATAGAAGGAATAAGTTCTAGTGTTTGATAGCACAATAGGGTGGCTATAGTTAATAATGTATTGCATGTTTAAAAATAGCTAAAAGATTTGGAATGTAACCAACAAAAAGAAATGATAGACGTTTTTGATATCTTAATTACCTGGATTTAATCATTATGCACTGTATGCTTGTATCAAAATATCACAAGCACCCCATAATACGTGCAACTAGTACCAATAAAAAAGTATTCAAAAATAAAAAGCCTATTAATGAAAGAAAAAAGTTAGTCTTCTGAAAAAAAGAACTCTACAGAGAAGGATCCCCTAAAGGGTATGAAGTCCATCCCTCTCTCAGTGTTTTACAAAGGGCCCTGTCTTAGTCTAGTCAAGTCGCTATAACAAAATGCCAAACACTAGGTAATTTACAGCAGAAATTTATCTTTCACAGTTCTGGAGGCTGGGAAATCCAAGATCAAGGCACTGGTGGTGTCTGGTGAGGGCCTACTTTCTCACAGATTGTGCCTTCTTGCTGTGTCCTCACACGGTAGTGAAGGCAAGGCACCTCTCTGGGTTCTCTTTTATAAGGAAACTAATACCACTCATGAGGGTTCTTCCCTCATGATAAAATCACCTCCCAAAGACCTCACCTCCTAATACCATCACCTTGGGGGTTAGGTTTCAACACATAAATTTTAAGAGGGAAACAAACAGTCAAACCATAGCAGTGCCCACTGGCGTCTTGAGCAGGATAAAGAGGAATTGTTCTATGCAATGCAAGGCATTAAGCATACCTGGTTCCTGGCTACTAACTACCCACAGAGACCTCCAGCCTCACTTGAGACCCACTGCAAATGACAAGAGAACTGCACTGGTCACTACTGAATTGCACACTGGCAGCAAAACAAAACTCAGTGCGATGTCTTTGCAGATACGTGGAACTCAGGGCGATGTCTTTGCAGATATGTGGTCAAAGAAGTTACCTGCCACGTCACAACATTCCTTTTTATTTGGCTACTGAGCAGCCTTAGTCCAATTTGTTGCCCATCTCTAGCAGCTGGGCATAACACAGATTAATGGTCAAGTTCAGGTCCCACTATTTTGTGGTAATGAGCAATTATTTTCTCTAAACATTAATTCCTTCATGTGAAAAATGGATAATAATGGTAATTCTAATTACTGAGAGCTTATTACGTGCTAAGTGCTATTCTATGTTTTCCATTAATTCATTTAATCCTCACAACAACTCCATGAAGTAGGCACTATTTCTATTCTCATTTTGAAAAGGAAGAAAATCAGACACAGAGAGGTTAAGAAACTTGCCCAAGGTCAAACAGCTAGTAAAAGCAGAGCCAGGAGAACCCTGGTGGTGGCAATTAAACTAGTTAGTGCATAGCAAATGTTAGTGTGGGATCTCATAACGGGTCTGGTACACTGCACACAATTAATACAGGTTAGTTATTATTAGGTCGAAACCTTAGTATTAATATCAACTTCTGTGGATTAATCTTAGTTAAAACTTGATTTTCTTACCTCTGAGGCAAATAAGCCCAAACACTTGTTCTCTCTGATTCAACATCAAATTATGACTCAAGTTCCTCCTAACACTTCAGGAAGGTTTTTCACTCTGTTACTGTGATTTTTGCAAGTCTGGTCTCATAAGGATTGGTACGTTTTTTTCTGTAAAGGGCTAGATAATATGTTAGGCATTGTAGGCCATCCAGTCTCTGTCATGTATCCTTCCATTTTTAAATTTTTCAACCCTTTTAAAATGTAAAAACCATTTTAGCCCATGGGCCATAGTTTGCCAACCCCTGCTCTCTGGGATTATTGATAAGAGTACCATATAAAACATCAAGAGACTTTCACACGGAGTAGATGGAACTATCAGAATTTGGTAATTGCCTCATTACACTGTCATTGATCCCCACCCATCACAATAAAGTTGCCAGAGAATTCATTAAAGTGATAAATGACTAAAACAATGAAGAAGCATCTGAAAAGTTTTCAGGGAAGGGAAGGTTGGTAGGTGGGTACGCAAATCCAGAAATGCCTATGCAGAAGTAAGTCTTCTAAAGCATTGGTAATGAAGGGGAAAAGGAAACTATCTCACAAAAATCATAGTGTTTTAGAAGCAGCACAAGATTTCATTCATGCAACAAATCTTTAGAAATATGTATTGGGTATCTCTATGTTCAGGCACTTTCTCAGTAATGGAATTATACAATTTTAGAGCTCAAAATGACCTTAGAAATTATCTGATCCAATCTCCTTATTTCACAGATGAGAATTCTGAGGCCTCAAAGTTAGTTAAAATAATTTGGCAATTTCTGTGCAAAATTAAATGTAGTGGGGTTTGTTTTTAACCCCTCAAATGTAGCACTTATGTAGATTATTAAATGTTTGTTAAATAGAGGTTATTAATGGAAAGCTCCTATTCTCTTTACCACCTTTAAACCACCTATTTAATCTGGCAAAACAATACATTTTACTTCCTTTATCAATTTACTTAAAATCCTTTTTTTGTTTGTTTGGGTTTTTTTTGCTGTGTCTCACAAACTTTTGGTGTGCTTAAGTGGCCTAACAATCACCAATCATTAAATGAACCAGTCTCTGATCCACTTTTAGCACCTCCTTCTCCCTGCAGGCTCCTAGCCCCTCCACTCACTCCCCCTACCTCTCCTCAGACACTTTTCTCTAGTTCTGTTGCTGCCACTGTCACTGCTGTCTCAGCTCCTGTCTTTCTGCTTCAGTCTTTCCCACCTCAATACCTCCAGATTTAGACTATCTACATTTTCCTTCTTAACACCCGGCTCAGGTCTTACCACCCTCAGGTTCTGAACACTGAAACAAATCCTACTTGGCTACTACTAAAGCTCCACTGTTAGGCTAGTTCCTCAGCCCCAAATCTACCTTCTTTCTCCCAAGTCTTACTTACCATTGTTTACTATTATTTGTCTATTTCCTCTGATGTTCCCTTCAAACTGTTCCTCACTCTTGCCTAAATATGCCCCAATGTTTGAGCCTTTGCTAAAGCCTCTCTCTCTCCTTGAGAAACACCTTTTTGTCCATCCCAACCTTCAGAAACTTCATTCTTCCTTAACGCCATTTGCTCCTTGCCCCTGCTTTCTTCTCCATTTCTGCAGCACTTGGCTCTACTTTCTTATGCAGGAATTGAATCTGACCTTCTATTACATTATCTGAGTGTATGAACTAATGCTTCTATTGAAAGCAATCTATCCATTCTGCAAGTACAATAAGAAATAGTTTTAAGTTAAAACACCAAATTTATTGCATAATATTGAACTATATGCACACACATAGAAAATAAACATTTCATATAACTGTATATATATTTTTAATCCTGTATTTATAAAGACTGAAAAACTACCAATTTAGCAATTGGAATAAGTTTTAAAAACAAAAAAAGCAAAAATCTACAATCCTTCATCAAGATTTGATGCTTTATCACAGTTCATAAATACTTCATTTTATATAAATAAGTCTTTTCTCTAGTTACCAGGAATTTAAAATTAGACTTACATGGATTCTTTAATCATGTAGAATTTTCTTACTCCATGATGAGGAAGGTTGAGCATGTCATTATTTTTAAAATACATATATTTGATTTAAACACAATCCCCCCTAAAATCCCACTGTAAACAAACATTTCGAATGTGATAAAGTTTCATAATAAAGAACGTCCTTAAATCTTAGCAATTAGGGAAGAGGAAAAAAATCTGAGTAAAAATTTTGCAATTTAAATAAAAATTGAAAAAAAGGCTGCATGCATCCACTAGGAGAGGAGAGGAAGGGAGCACTGAGTCAAGTAACAAAGAATGGGATAAAATAAAGAAGAAACGAAAGGAAAATCAGGGAGGGAGCAGGGTATGAAAAGGAGAAAATTAGGGAAGGGAGCAAGGAGAAAATAGTAGAGGACATAAGGTGATAGAAAAGGGGAAAGTAAATTTATTATTTCTACTTTTCTTGGACAATATAGAGACTCAAAATAGTTAATGCAATTTGCTCCAAAAGCGAGAGCGGAAGGGGTGATGGGTCTATCAATTAACCTCATTGTCAAAGGGAAAAGGATGAGCAAGAAAACAAAATTAGGCTCAGCTACAATGAATGCTAAGCTGCTCTGCACATCTTTTAAAAGGTCTAGGAAATAGGCACAGCCATGGGAAAGTTGCTATTCCCTCAAGAACTTTTTAAAAGCAAGATATGTTTATATAGGCTCCCATAAATTCTTAGGAGTTCTGCCAAAATAATGGACCCAGAGTCAGCTTTTTGGAATTGGGAGATTCTGAAGTAGTCCTTTCCTCCTTTGGGTTAAAGGAGGGCTGCAACAAGCCAGAGGCATTCCCAAGTGTACAGAGGAAGGTGATGTTCTTGCATGCGCAGATAAGAAAGGACGGATCAGTCTAAATCATTCTCATAGAGGAATGAGAAGTTAAAAGAAGGACAAGGAAGCATTGTGAGAAAAGATCAGGGCTGAGAGAGATATTTGGGAAATGAAAGTTTAAAAATCCACTGCCATTTCATCCAGCAGAGTGCAACACATTCACAAGTGCAAGGAATACTGGGTAGTTTGGTTTAAAACAAAACAAAAACACCTCCCATACAAGGGCCAATTTTTTACCCCATCCCCAACCCCTAATTTTTCAAAAAGGTTGTTTACTGCTATACAATCCCAGAAACACATCAACCAGGCTCAGGATTTTAAAGTCCCAACCCACTTAGACAATAAAAAAATAGAAATCACTCCCCATGATTTTCTGTATAGGTCTCAATGTGGACATTGAGGAAGGAAGGGAA